TCCACTCAAATTTTATTTGCTTTCGTTTTTGTAAAATTCGACCGTCAGTCTGTGGAGCGGGGTGTGTGGGCCGGCCCTTTTTATGGCACTGTAATTGTGTGAACAACACGGAAGTCGTACTTAAAATGACACCAAATAAAAAACTAGTAATTTTAAATAAATGTAATCAAGCTGTTTGCATTGACCAGCATGTTTAAGGATAAGGCTAGGATGGAGCTGGAGGTATTGGCTCCATTTAAGTGTTTTACGCGTTGAGATTTTTTTTTTGTGGATTAAGTATTTAATTCACTTCAATTTTATATTGGATTTGTTTGGTGATTTGACACCAAGCTAGGTAGGGAGGTAGGTATGTATTTGGGTAGAAGTGGCTGCCGCCTTAACGGTACACTTGGGGCACTTACACGGGCGATTTGGGTCTTACATTTCCTCCTCTTCGTAGTCCTTACAACTTCTGCAACATCTTCTGAAAGGCACGCGGTGGCTTTCTGCATGCTTGCCTATTAAACAGTGCCCCGTAAGAGCACCCAGAACGTTAGATATATCCTCTCTTCAACAAGAGTATACCCATCGTGGCCGCTCCCTATCCCTGGAAATTCGACAAGTCGTACTTTGACTCCATCTTTCTTCAGCTTATTTGTATACTAATTCACTAAGTAGCAGCTTGCTAGTGACAAAAGGTATATCAATGCGTTCTTTACCAGGAAGATTCTGCTCGGTCGTGCCTTGCCTTTTAAGTTGCAGTCTGCCATGCAGTTTCCCTCTATGTCCCTATGACAAAGGAACCAAGTGAGGTGAAGTCTGTTGTGCTTGTTCAAAGACTAGGCGCCAGTCCAGCGCATTCTTTGATTGGAACGTGAGAGAGTTCAGAGCTTTGGTTGCAACCTGGCTATCACTAAAAATGAAGAAATCTCTTCCCAACATTTCGGTTCCAAGATTCTTAGCAGCCTCCACGATAGCTGAAACTTTAGCTTGGTATACGTTGCAGTAGTTTGGTAAGCTAAAAGAGGAAAGTTCGTGAGAAAACTCCCCCTCCTACCTTAGCGTCGATTTTCGAGCCATCTGTATAGATGTCAGTACTATCGGACGAAGTGTTAATATATTCTCCCTGCTTTGAATTCTTATGCTTTCCGGAACTGATATCGAAGCGTAACGGTCTCTGCTGTTCGGAAGAGCGTTTCCTGCTGTTAATCGTTGCGCCAGATTTTCATAGCCGAACTTTTCTAAATGAACAACAACAAAGGTGCCTATAATTATGCAACATCTGCAGTCACACATATCACCCATAAAGCGATTATATTTATACATGCATCGAATAATCTCTGATGTTGCAAAACTTCTTATGTTGCAGTCAGATGATTTGATTGACGAAAATTTAAGAAACAAAAAAAAGGTTCAACAAATAATGCCCGAAAGTATGCAATGATCAATGATCTGAGTACTAACTTATTAAATTTCGCTTTCTCATATTTTTCTAGCCCTTTTTTTTGGTTAAAGCCAATTTTAAACAAGGCTCAATAAACAATGAAAAAGTCTTATGCATTTATGAACATTTGAATACAAAATTTTAACAGATTATGTGCTTTACATTAATCATACAAGTTAACCCTCTGCGAACTGATGTGGTAGTCTGACAGACATCGAAGGTTTCGATGATTTTTCCTGAGCTTCAACGCCATTAGTTACTAAAAACGCCTAGTTTTCGACATATAGTTTATTGTTATGACTATTTCATTATTGAGTATTTAAAATATTGATAGAATTTCAAGTTTAAATCGAAAAAAGTGTATTAATAAATATCTAACAGTAAAATAGGGAAATTTCGGTCACGTTAGTGGCTCGAGGGTTAAGAGTTTGAACTATTTTACTAAAGATTATCGGCTTTTTATGCGTAGTCCAATGTTAAATGGTTTAATTTGCAACATTTCCCTGTTTTATTTTATGTTTACATTCACTTGCTATATTTCAAACTCTCTTTCTCTGCACTTTCATTCCGATTCTCTTAATATGCACTCAAAAATATTCGCCACCACAGACTGCATAATTAATTACAGCAAATATTTTACGTCTACTCGCTCAGTAAACCAAAAGTGAAAAGTGAAAAACTTCCAAACCATAAGCGCTGAAAATTTTATGCCACACTAAAGCTAAAAATGCCACTAATGTGGCTAACAGAAGAAAAAAATCTCGTCTACATTTACATAAAGTATTAAATAACTATGAAAAAAGAACGAATAAAAAAAAATGCAGATGGCGTAAAAACATAAAAATGCTGTGCTGCATACGCTTAGGACTTTAACGCGCTGTGGGAATAAAAGCTGAAAATTTTGAAAAAATATTCCAGCCGACTTTTATGGAAACTGAGAGAGATGATGACATTTTTACTTTAGTTTTATACGGACTGCATGTTCGCTTTCTTTCTTTTATTATTATTATTTTTTATACATACTGTATTTTAAGCTGCTTAAAATAGATGGATTATTACCGAGAGTTCAGTAAAAACTCGTTGAAAATTACTTAAGTATGTATAACTAAATCCGGATTCAAAGTAAACCGCTATTCGCCGTTACCAATAATTTTATAATTTTTTTAACCGTTTTACTCGTCGGAATATTTTTTTTAGGTATGTGTCTGATGGCGCAATCTTATATTCTATCATTCTTGGATTGAATGTATTGGTGCGGTTTCTAAACAGAGGGGAATGGAGAGGGGCCAAGCTGCCGATAAGGAAGCCATCTGTATTCTACACTGCAGTGTTGGGACGGGGTAATTTCCGAAGAGGTCGGTTTCGATCAGTTCCTTCGCCTGAGCAAGCCATGCTAGCATATTCCGGGTTGAAGTTTCAGGCAGCACTCCTAGCTA